CATATCGGGAGTTTAATTTTCCATCTTTTTGTGCACATTTCTTTACGTACAGGTGCATTTTGTGATCTTAAGACACGTACGAGTATATGATTACGTACAAGTTCAGTTTCAACAAGGTGTACCAAAATGACCTTTTGGTCGTATAAGGCTCATTTGCTTCTTTTGAACAGTCGAAGCATCATACTCTAAAAATACCACTTTTTCAAGTGTTTCTTGAAAAGGAGTTGTGGTGATAAAATAACATTTATTTTAAAAAATGATGAAAATTAAGTATAAATCCTGAAAAAAGTAAGAACTATTTATATTACCAGACAAGATATTTTCTTATTTCCCTAAGTAAGAAAGTAAGTAAGTACCTAAGTAAGTAAATATTTTATTATAGTGAAATATGCAAAATGTTACAAGTATACAATAATTTAGATGTATTGAATCCAATGGACCTATAAGCCACCAATAGACATCATAATGAATTCCGATATTGATCATTATACTGATTACATAGACGATAGATATACAAAATTATACATGTATAGAGTGAGATGTAAATTAGTATTAAATTTTACAAGTTTAAAGAAATTCGTATGACATTTTATTATGTCATAATTCGAGATTTTCTTCTATGAAGATATGAATTAACAATATATTTCGTCATTTTAGCAGATACTTGTTTAAAGGATATGCTGATCTGTCAGATGTAGGTAAAGAAATGTATTCATCATTTAGGATTATTTTGCCTAGAATATTGTTGCGTAATCACACTCAATCAAAAAATGTTTTTTCATCCTCGATCACCTCCGATGAGCATGTTGTAATACTAAAATTAAACATTGGTTATATTTTTAGTCCCAATTATTTCAGATCATATATGACTTTTTCCGACAAAGCAAAGTAGATGTACATCAGACCCTTTACCGTGTGTATGCCCTAGGATAAGGTCTTTATCTCGTGGATATGTCAACAGAATAGATACGTGTAATGATTAGCAAAATACAAGGTTAACCTGTGGAGTTAGAGAATGTGTGATGTTATTTTAGCATCATAATGAAAGAAAACATCAAATAAATGCGTTATTATTGTTGCCTTGCAAGGCTTTGTTAACCACCTTATCACAAGAAGAATGAATTTTCTTTTTCTTCTCTGTGAAAAGTGACGAATTCACCAGAAAGCGTGTTAGAATCTATGAGATATAATGCATGATACATTTTAAGCACATATGAACAACAACTCACTATTTCATCAGTCAAAATGATTTTAGTGATACATCTCCTTCAGTGGCGGCACGTCTGTCAGATAATATCAATGATAAACACTTATGCATCATTGACTGTCATAAAATGTTAACTAAAGAAACTTCAATGGCTTAACCTTAAAGCTGCACGCCTGAAGATTCATGCTATTTTTAATTAATTTTGAAAAAAAGGTATTTTAAAGTAAACTATTGTGAAATGAACAAAGAAAATAATTTTCACATTGCAAGTAGCACATACAAGCTACAAGCTAATGTAAATTACAAAAAAAGAGGTCTAAATATGCATAAATAGCCCTTACTGCATTAATAACACAGAAGAAATAACGTGAAAAATACTGCAAAATCAGACATAAATCGCACAAAACATGGGAATTATTACTCTTATTTTAAGTCTCTTTAATTTTCTTAAAATCTCAGCACTTTTTTTCAAGTTTGATTTAATAAAAAATATATTCGCTCATCTGGAGGCATGCAGCTTTAAAGTAAAGATCATTAGTGTGTCACTTTTACAACACGATACAAAGAGCCTTGACGTTTTGTTATCGAAACATAAACCAAAGGGCTTTGTAAAGCCATCTTGTCCTGTCAATAGCTCTACCTGATCATTTCCGTCAGTTGACATTAAAAGTACATTGTTTGACGTAAGAAACCCAACACATAACTGACTTTTATTTATCTCACAAATACAACACGGATCTGAAAAAAGTTTCTTATCTACAGAAATGGGTTTCATACTTCGCTTTTTATCAACGATTAGGATACCTTTATATACGTCACTCACAAATATTTCCATGTTAAGGCTTGATATTGTTACATATAAAGGACATTGAATCTCATCTATGTACGATGCTATAAATTTCCCAGAAACAGTATATACCCCCAGATGACCAACACCTTCACCCTTGTATCCGCCACAACAAACATAAATCACCCCGTCATTGTATGCAATACCCCGACATCTATCGGCGACTTTAAAGGATTGCTGTAACTTCATAGGTCCTTTCTGGGAGATAACCTGAACTGTCTTATCATTAATCAGAGTAACAGCCAGCAGTGACGACTCTATCTGACATATACCATAAGGATTGTAAGTGACTTTAAACGAAGATATGACCTGGAGGGAATCATTCATTTTCTTTATACATTTATTATGATAATCTGTCATAACAACACTACCATCTTCACACATGCACATGCCAATTATTAGGCACGATTCCTTGTCATCCTTTGATCTCATATTAACATCATGATATTTTCCTGCTCCAATTACTGGAAGATGGAAAACATTTCCAATAAAGTTGCATTCCGAATCAGTCAAATATTCATTCGGTTCAAATCGTAATCTGCCTGTTTTCCTCGACCCTCGTAAGTTTTCTAAACAATCGCTTGCACCTTTTCTTCTCTCGTTAACACGTTAAATCTGCACATATTTCTCGGATTCGTTTTCATGTTTAGCAGCACTGATCTTTTGCATATTTTCCTGCAGTGAAGCGATCTTTGCATCAACTTCTTTCATGCATAACTCTATATGATGCAGTTTTATCTGAAAGGTGGCATCAACTTCTTGAAGAAGTTCCATTTCCATCTTGTCCAAATGGTCGTTGATTTTCTTCCTTTCTGATTTTATTTCTTTAGTCAAGAATGCCTTGTAAAAGAATTGAAATAGAGTTATGGTTGTGGGTAATTAAAGATAGTTGTGGTTCTTGTATGTTGCATTTCCTTTCAATGTGGTTGACCATTGTATGAAGTTGCATTGAATTCTAAACATAAGTTTTTAAGTTATGCAACGGACAAGGAAAAGGAACAAAGGGCAATAACCCTACAAATACTGAAGATGGAGTTATGGTTATTGTACACTGCACTTCCTTTCATTGCGTTTGACCATTGTATGAAGTTGTATTGAATTCCAACTACTAGTTTTTAAGTTATGCACTGGACAAAAAAGTAACAAAGGGCAATGACTGTAATTAGTTCAAATAGAGTTATGGTTCTTGTGCACAACACTTTATATCACTGCCCTTGACCATTGTATGAAGACTCATTGAATTCTAACCATTAATTTTCAAGTTATGCTCTGTACAATAAAAAGTAACAAAGGGCAAAAACTCTAAAATGAGTCAAGAAAGAGTAATGGTTTCTGTGAACTGCGCTTCCTGTTAATATACTTGACCATTGTATGTAATTGTATTGAATACCAACTAGTAGTTTTCAATTATGCTCTGGACAAGAAAAAAGCAATGGAAAAGTAACAAAGGGCAATAACTCTATAATTACTCTGGACAGAGTTATGGTTCATGTGCACTTCACTTACTCTTATTGTGCTTGACAATTGTATGAAGTTGTTTTGAATTCCAAATGATACTTTTCAAGCTATGCTCCATACAAAGAAAAGTATCAAAGGGCAAGAACTCTATAATTTGTGAAAATGGAGTTATAGTTCTTGTGCACTGCTCTTCCACTTCATTTGCTTGACGATTTTATAAAGTTGCATTGAATTCCAACTAGAAGTTATCAAGTTACGCTCCGGATAAGGAAAAGTAACAAGGGGCAATAACTCTGTAGTTAGTCAAAAATAGAGTTATGGTTCTTGTGCACTGCACTTTCTCTCAATGTGCTTGATCATTGTTTGAAGTTATATTGAATTCAAACCATTAGTCTTCAAGTTGTTCTCCGGACAAAAAACAAGGGAAAAGTAGCAAAGGTAATACCTCTGTAACTACTTTAGATAGAGTTATGATTCTTATGCACTGCACTGTCTCTTTTTGTGCTTGACGATTGTATGACGTTGTTTTTAATTCCAATCAGTAGTTTTCGAGTTATGCTCCGGACAAGGAAAAGTAACAAAGGGCAATTCCTCTGTAATTAGTAAAGATGGAGTTATGGTTCTTGTGCACTGCACTTCCTTTCAATGTGCCTGATCATTGTATGAAGTTATATATGACGTAATTATTTTACATAAATTATGATTCTTGTGCAATGCACTTCCGCTTATAGTGCTTGACGATTGTATGTAGTTGTTTTGAATTCGATCCAGTAGTTTTCAAGTTTACTCCGGACAAGGAAAAGTAACAAAGGGCAATAACTCTGTAATTAGTGAAGATGGAGTTATGGTTCTTGTGCACTGCACTTTCTCTCATTGTGCTTTATCAGTGAATGAATTTGTATTGAATTCCAATCATTAGTCTTCAAGTTATGCTCCGGATAAGGAAAATGCAACGGACCGCTGGACTGACTGACTGATCGACCGACCAACCAACCCACCGACCGACCGACCAACAGACCGACCACCGGGTGACATCGTTTCGGGGGTATAAATATCAAAATACAATATCTGTGCTAAAAATTACCTGGTAAAATACTCATGACTTTGCTACTTCTTTTTCAAAATATGACATTAAAATAATATATGATAAATGTCACAGGGCAATTTATTAATTAATTTGTTTTGTTAAAAATAAAGAGGTTTTTATAGATAGTGTAATTATAAGTGGCATATAACTAGAATCTCCTGTTCATATTTCACTTAAATTTAAGAATCAATTGACATTATGTCTAAATTAATAATTGTGAACAAGAAACTTGAGTGGGAGGGGTGTTATATCCTGTTTCAAAATGAGATACAGAATATATTGAAATGAAAGTTAATTGCTATTTCTGGAACAATGATACAATACACTATAAATTCATTTATTTTACAAACAAATAATTTTCCTTTTCAATGCACCGAAACCGAAAGTAGAAATTTTCAAACCTGTGTTCAATGGTCATACACGTTGAGCAGCCAACCCTATCATGACCAGGACAGTAGACATCTATCAATTTTCCTCCGTGTCTCTCACACTTCTCACTTGGGAATTCCTGCTTTTTCCCGCTCAGCTGTTTTACCATGTCTCGTAACTGATGTCCTCTCATTACTGAAAACTTATCGTGATCACCTAAACATTTTCGACACAAGTTTACATCACATTCCACACAATGTTTGATAGCGGCTACATTTTTACCATCTTTAAAACAAGGAGAACACGGAAAATCATCTTCATTATCCGATCCTTGATACAAAGATTGACTAAATCCTCCCCCGTCCACGGCCATTTTTTTCAGCTGAAGTTTAACTTCCTTGTAGGGCATTTTGTACACCGGTCGTACTGATATTTGAGACCGATGCGAATACAATGCGTTATAGGCCTTTCTCAAATTATATGCATGCTTTACATTCCATCACCAGAGAGAGGCTAACAGGGCATGAATGTAAACAAGTAATGTCTGACCTGATAGGCCCAAGTGTGTTAAACTTACCGGGGAAAATATCATTTTTATTGTTGTGTTCCACTCTGTTATTCCAATTCTAAATATGATTATATGGTTAATTTTCATAAAATACGTAAGGATGTGAGTTAAATAAAGGAAGGGATTGTGAAAATAAGATGGGATGAATGAGAACATTTCAAGGTAAAATTTAATTGTTCTTTTCTAATTTTAAACTAAGCTACTTTATATATATTACTACTCTTACATTAATTAATCTGATTTATAATTGTTTTAAATGTTTCATTTAATAATTAAAATAATAAAATGTTTTGTTCATAAATTTCATTTAAATATCACACTAAACTGTCTTATGATTAATCTAAATCATTACCGTTTTTATACTAAAAAGCAATAACTGTTATTTTGTATATCATTTCAGATCAATATATGACATGACAATATTGCTCGTTTTGAAGCATTTCACACATATTCATAAATGTCTGAATAGAATAGATGTTCCCTCTTGGTTCAACTGGAGTAGTAATGAACAGACCAGTAATTAAGATGAACACTAAAGAAGATTTTGCCAAATGAAAGGTACATCACAAGACTTAATTTTCATTTTTACACAAAAATAAAGTTCAGCTACAGTAAAAAAAAATATTATAGGTGCAATTAAAATATAAATTGATATATTCTAGAATTGTCATAGCTCTTCTCACCACTTCATAATAAAATGTATATATTTTCAGGAATTCCATTGGTAACAGTAATGAACACAAATTGACAACTGGTATTTGAATCGCCTTTAATTGTACTACCTCTTCATGGCAGTTGCAGAACAGATGAAAAAGAAACTATCAAACAGTTCAAAGAAGAATTACAGAAAACAGAGGAAGAAAATAAACAGTGATATTAGGAAGAAAATAAACAGTCATATTGAACTTTTGACACAAACAAATTTTTAAATGATAACAGTTGCATATCTTGTTTATACAGGATTTTCAACATACGAGGTATATATATTCATTACAGTTTTCAATGTTAACATCAGCAAAAAACATTAAGAGCTTTTATTATGAAGCAAGCAAAACAAACAGCTTGACTGATAGAAAGAGATAGATGTTGCAAGCTAGAAAAAATGTATCTTTAGCATATAAGGACCATTTGTTTAGTCTTTTGTGTCTTAATTCAAATAAAATAATTAAAAAGAAATCATCGCATTACCTTGTTTTTAACATTACTTTGTTTTTACATTGTGCTTTGTTACATTATATGGTACAGCTGCAGGGAATATGTCAACATGGCAATAACATTTAATATTTTGTCCTCTTATTGCATTATATCCTGTTGAGTGAATATTTCTGGGACTGTTAAAAGAAGTGCTGAAGCTAGATGCTGTCTTTCCTAATCCCCCCCCCCCACTGCAAGGTCTGCACATGTTTTCTGCAAATGTTCAGTCCCCTAAGTAAATGGAATGTCTGGGGTTGGTTAGTCCAGGCAACATCTTCTGGAAGTGCCGTGTACCCAATGATTTGTTATATAACAGCTAGTACAGGGTTCAACAATATGACCACATTATCAAGTCGGACCAACTGGCCAAGTGCAATAAGCTAATGATACCTCAGCTTCGTCTTAAAATTTGACTGATATTTGCAATTAAATGATTATAATTTGTTATAAACTAAGTAATTAATACTGTAATTAATTAAAACAGTTTTACACCCATTACTTAGCATGAAATGTATTTTTCTATTGCTGTAAACAACATCAGTTACTAGACAGTCATCCAGAATTTTTTTATTTTCAAATACAAAGTGAATTAAACTTATTGTTTTTTTTTATTTCAATGGCTAAATTTAGGGGAAGTATGGTACAGAATTCACCATCCAACTGTTTACATCTATTATCAGTTAATTGCTTTATACATTCTTGACCAACATGTGTTTAGGTAAGCAATAAAATACTGATAACACAGATAATGTCTGTATAAGTTGCAAAGAGTTAACCTGATATTTATACTTGACACGGAATATTAGAATTACTTGGAATTATCATAAACATTAATTCACTTTTCAGGTCTTGAATACATGTATATCCTTCACTGTATATAGCGTAAAATAAACCTTGTTGTTGATTTATATTTATTTATCTCCAGAAGAGATTTTTGTAATGTTAAATATAACATTCAACAAGTATATAGTACTATTAGTACTATACCAAGATCTTTAAATCTTTCGGCCATATATTTGTGATATGTTTACATAGAGCAGATACTGGAGCTTGCCCTGTTAGCCTCGTTCTGAGAAATCTATGAATATGTATGAGGTAATATTAAGAAGGGTCTATAGGATTGTCATAGGCATAACTGATATGCCTCTCTAGTGTAAACTAATAGTAATGAAGGAAGTATGGTATAGCCTTTTTCCGTTTGAACGTTTATCTCTTTCGTACATTTCTCAATAGTAAAAGTGTTTGATTCAGTTAAATATGTATTTTAAACACCAATATATAGAACGTTATTAAGAAGTGAGTTATTAAACACATATCAGTGCTGTTATATTTTCATCTACTATTATATTGGACTATTACTACAATCACAATTTTATAAAACCTTTAAGAACATTGAGATGTAAATAAATAAAGGCTGACAATTAGTGGTTATTATATAATTTTTCAGATATTAAATATATTGCTCTTTTTAAATAGAAGAAATCAACACCAATAAATGGTCAACCAATATTCAAGAGTATATTTGGCTTAACGATCGGAAGAGTCGGTTGTGGATTTCTTGATGATACTAAAATTGAATGTGAACAGTTGCGAGTCTAATCAAAAACCATATATTATTTGAACTTTGGACCAACAATTATAGTATTAACACATTAATATCTCGACTGTCGATAACATGCCAACATGTAACATTACAATCGCGGTAATCACACAGTCAAGCACAGAAAGCATTATATCAAAGTACCTAAATACCTTTTCGTTAGATTTATTTTATATCTTCACTCAAAGACAAACTTTTTTCCGGATGCACTGACTGAACTTGCTGGTTTCGTTAGCGACACTGTAGGAATGAATGGTGACCAGCATCAAGGCAGAAGATTAACGAGGTGATCTTGGATATTATGAAAACCAAATTTTAAATCTTTTTGATCATTTCCTACACTTTGGCATAATTGTTTGTTTAAAATTATACATGACACTGACTAAAATAAACTTAGACATAATGAATGCAACACATTTGACGGTTGAATTGCCATCGATATTACAGTGGTTCAAAGAGGCAGCCATCACCATTGCTATTTGAAAAATCGTAAAGCCAGCAATACATAGGTACAAATAAACGATGGATTATTAATAGGCATTCATGGACAATAAGCATTTTACGTAAATCTTCTATAGCATGTAATCATATTTTTGCAACACAATTTGTATATATTGGATCTTAAAACAGATGCCTAAAATTACGGCCATTACAATATAAATACAATGCATATGCATTTAAAATTGGTATATTACATTATGTTAGTATTCAATATATATAGTTTTTTATATATTATCTTTTTTTTCTTGTAAGTTACATGTACTTAACAAATTAATCAAGAACCTATCCATGTACATACACTGTACATTTTGCAGATGTACCTTGAAAGGACATTTCTTTAGTACAATAACACATTTTACTTTAATTTGTACGGTTGGTTAATTGAAAAACTTGTTTTACTTCGAAAAAAAGAAAACGTATTGAATTTGTATTTTTCTAAGAATTTGACATAGAAAATACAACAGTTATTTTTATGAACAAAAATATTGTTACTTTAAATAATATGACGAAATATTGCTTCAATTACAAAATGTTGTATTATCTAGCCTTAAAATATATTCTTTTGTTATTTCTAATTACTTTGTTATTTGTTTGTACTTTATTCATTTCTAATCCAGTTCTCAAGGACTGTTTGATAATGTTTTCAGAATATGAGTTTGTATGCGTTTCACGTGTACAGTTGTATGCAAATAAACTGTTTTTGTGATCTAAGACACGTACGAATTACGTACAAGGTCAGTGACAGCAATATGTACCAAACGGACCTATCGGCAGAATAAGGCTCATTCGCTTTTTTTGAACAGTCGAAGCATCATACTATACCAGTTTTTCAAAAGTGTTTCGTTTGTGGTGATAATATACCTTTTATTTTAAAAAGAGCTAAAATAAACTATAAATTCCACAAAGAACTTTTTATGTTACAAGACAAAATGGTTTTTCCAACAGCAATGTTTGAAGAAAAAATCAATTTTTTGGTTATGCCGATGATACAATACAATACAATACAATGCAATACAATACAATACAATACAATACAATACAATACAAAACAAATACTTTATTTCGCTTTCATTAAGGTCTCCGGATTATGCAAAAACATATATACAAAGAAACAATTTACACAAAATTACATATGATGATACAAAGTATATGTTTTGCTACTCAAAACTACGTATTGGTTATATTATTGGTCCCAATTATTTCAGAACATTTATGACTTTTTTGACAAAGCAAAGTAAATGTACTTATAAAACTTCACCGGTTTATACTCGACCATGTGTATACCCTTAGGATTAAGACTTTATCTCGCGGATATGTCAACATAATAGATACGTTAGCAAAATGCAAGGTTATTAATTTGGCCTTTCCATCTTCAATCATTTTCGCTCTGTCCATCCTTTTATCCTTTGCGGGCTTATGCCACTATTTATGGTTCTATCCTTTGTAAGGTCCCTGTTTTTAAACACACGAAGCTCTGAAATCCCTCAGAATAACACTTTGAAGAAAACGCAATGCAAACATGTGGAGTAAGAGAATGTGTAATGTTATTTTAGCATCATGTGGTAGGAAACATCAATAAAAATGCGTATTTATTGTTGTCTTTAATGTCATTAATAACCATCGTATCACAGGAATTAAGAAGTATTTTCTTTTCTGTGAATAGTTGAAAATTCATCAAGCGTATTAGAATCCATGATAATTCATGATAAATTTTAAGCACATATCAACAACAACTCACTTCTTCATCACTCAAAATGTTTTCAGTGGCACATCTTTTCAAGTGTCATTTCTGTCATTTGCTTTCATGACTGACTGTTAAGAAACGTCAATGGTTTTTCTTTAAAGAAAAGACCATTAGTGTGTCACTTTGATAACAGGAGACAAAGAGCCTTGACGTTTTGTTATCGAAACATAAACCAATGGGCTTTGTTAAGCCATCTTGTCCTGTCAATAGTTCTACCTGATCCTTCCCGTCAATTGACATTAAAAGTACATTGTTTGACATAAAATACCCAACACAGAACTGACTTTTATTTATCTCACAAATACCAGAAGAACTTAAAAAGAGTTTCTTATTTACAGTAATGGGTTTCCTACTTCGGTTTTTATCGACGACAAGGATACCTTCATATCCGTCACTCACAAATATTTCCATTTTAATGCTTGAGATTTTTACATATACAGGACATTGAATCTCATCAAAATACGATGCTAGCAATTTTCCAGAAATAGTATATACCGCCAAATGACCGACACCTTCATTTTTTTGATCATTTGATCCGCCGCAGCAAACATAAATCATCCCGTCATTGTATGCAATACCACGACATCTATCGCCGACTTTGAAGGATTGCTGTAGCTTCATTGGTTTTTTCAGGGTGATAAACTGGACTGTCTTATCATTAACCAGAGTGACGGCCAGCATTGAAGAGTCTATCTGACAAATACCATAAGGATTGTCAGTGACATTCAGCGAAGATATGATCTGGAAGGAATCATTCATTTTCTTTATACATTTATTATGATAATCTGCAATAACAATACACCCATCCTCAGACATGCACATGTCATATATAAGGCACGATTCCTTGTCATCCTTTGTTCGTATATTAATAACTTTACATTTTTCTGCTTCAATTACTGGAAGATGAAGAACATATCCAATTAAGTTGCATTCCGAATCAGTCACATATCCGTTCGGTTCAAACCGAAATATGCCTGTTTTCCCCGACCTTCCTAACTCTTTTAAACAATCGCTTGCATTTTTTCTTCTCTCGTTAACACGTTTTATCTGCACATATTTTTCGGATTCGTTTTCATGTTTAGCAGCACTGAGCTTTTGCATATTTTCTTGCAGTGAAGCGATCTTTGCATCAACTTCTTTCATGCATAACTCTATATGTTGCAGTTTTATCTGAAAGGTGGCATCCACTTCTTGAAGAAGTTCCATTTCCATCTTGTCCAAATGGTCGTTGATTTTCTTCCTTTCTGATTTTATTTCTTTGATCAATTGGCTTTTTTCTTTCTTCACACTTTCTAGTTCTACCTGCTTGTTTCGTTTTAAGGCGTTGAAACGAGACTGAAGTGTGTTTAGTTCAGTTTCAAGAAGGTTTAGTTTTTCGGAGGTTTTAGTTTTACAAGCTATGTCTGGTATGTAACTTATACCTTTGCAATCACTACAATGAAATAGACAAGACAACAGATGTAATCAATATGAAATAGCAAAAAAACATATCTGTGCTAAAAAATACCTGGTAAAATATTGTCATTATACGAATAAATTATGACTTTATTTCTACTTTACAAAATATGACATTAATATAATATCAAATTAATGTCAGAAGACAGTTAATAAATTAATTTGTTTTGTTAAAAATTAAATAAAGAATTGTTTATACAATATTGTAATTATAAGTGGCAAAGAACTAGAATCTCCCGTTTTGTTTTAAAATGAATTGAATTTTCATATTTCAGTTAAATACCAAAATGGCTTTAGAAATCAATTAAATTTTGTCCAAATTAATAATTTTAAACAAAAAACATTGGAGTGTTATATCCCGAGAACAAATGACACTGGTGTTTTTCAAATGAGATACAGATGATTTTATATTGCATTCAACCTTTAATTCTATAACTTATATAAACAACAAAAACATGGCGAATGGCGATTTCTGCCAACTTCCAGATATTTAAAATGACTGATTAACTTCGAGTCAAAACGTACAAGTTGATAGACTCTGAAGAATATATTGCAATGAAAGTTAATTGCTATATCTTGATCAATGAAACAATATACTATAAATTCATTTTGACGACAAAAAGAGGCAGTTATTCTATTATTTATTTATTTTTTTTTGTTGCGCTTTACACTTTGTCAATGCATCGAAACCAAAAGTAGAATTTTTAAAACCTGTATTCAATGGGTAAACAAGTTGAGCAAAGTTATCTGACGACAAAAAGGGCTGTTAATCTATTAAATATTTGTTTTTCCTTGCTGGGTCTTACGTCAAAATAATTTACTTGTCAATACATCGAAATCGGAAGTAAAAATTTTCAAACCTGTGTTCAACGGTCATACACGTTGAGCAGCCAACACTATCATGAACAGGGCAGTAGACATCTATCAATTTCCCTCCGTGTCTCTCACATCTCTGACTTGGTAATTTCTGCTTTTTCCCGCTTGGTTGTTTTACCGTGTCAAGTAACTGATGTCCTTTCATTACAGAAAACTTATTGTGATCACCCAAACATTTTTGACACAGATTTTCATCACATTCTACGCAATGTTTAATAGCAACCACATTCTTCCCCTCTTTAGTACAAGGAGAACACGGAAACTCATGTTCTATATCCGATCCTTGATACAAAGATTGACTAAATTTACGCCCGTCTACGGCCATTTTTCAGCATATGTTTAGTCTTGTACGGTTGTCACAGTCGTAACTAATTTACCATACTATCTAGTGTAAACTAATATCACGAAGGTAGTATTGAATGGCATTTCCATTTAAACGTTTATCTTAAAGGTTCGTAATAAGTATTGGACATTTCTTAAAAGTAAAAGCCATTGATTCAGTCAAATATCAATTAAATCACAATAGATAACATTATTATGAAGAAAGTTATTAAAAGCATAACTGTTTTATTTTCATCTACCATTATAGGACTAATGCTAAATCATGCTGTCTTAAGTCATGCCCTATATCATAATAACAGTCTGAAAGCACAAAACAGTGACACATTTTCACGTTTTTCGAAATACCTTTGAGGAGGACATTTAGTTGTGAATAAATAAAGACTGAAAAACATATACTTGTAGAAAGCAAATGATTATGGAGGGCGATCGTTGCCAAAATTCCAGACATGTAATGTGTTCCTTTTGAAAAACTACTTTTGAAAATGCGAACATGTATGTCTAGCATTTTTGATTGTATTCGTGCAGTGCAAATGATATGCCTCTTAATCCAATCTTTTAATTGAAGGCACCTGGTTTCAAATAACAAGTTTACATGTGAATGTTAACAACTCACCTAACATGGAGAACAACAACAAATTTACAAGTTTATATCTTCCATTGCATATAATACATAAGCATGTTTACACACTTGTAGATATCTATCTGTACCTGAAAAATACAAAGGAAATGTAAAACTCGAATACAGAAAGTATTATTCAATAAAACGTGTTTCCAGACGTAGAACTGCAACAGTACGTTTACACAGTAACATGTTTAAAATGACAAATTTAAACGATTTTAAGTCATGCATGACGCCCCGCCTCTCTCTGAGTATTTACGATCTTCTATTACTGAAATGTACGGACAGGTATAATACCCGTCGCCTCTCTCCTATTTCTCAATTAAGGGAAGGAAAACACGGCGTCCATTCTAACATTTTTTTTTAATTTTATAAAAAGTCAAATATTTTTGGTATCAAATGAAAGATTACTCCATAAGCTTTCTATGAGTGCCTCGGAAATAAAAATGAACTAAATAGATGTATTGAAATTTTTGTTTCAAAATTTATCATTTTTTTCCTCTGAAAATAACACTCTCGAATTGGTAAGAAAAACACGGCGTTCCCTCCAAACTTTTTTTTATTTCGTAATCAATTTTGATAATTTTGGATTGAAATAAAAGTGTGCTTCATACGCTTTATGATAACTAAATATATAAAGCCTACAAATAAAAATGAATTAAATCAAAATGAATTAACTTTTTCTCGTTTAAAAGTTTATCATGTTACTTTCTGTAAAATAGAGAAAATAAGAATCCCTAAAGAACGCTCAAAACGACAAAATTGAGAATGTTGCAGGCTTGGTTTGATTGAGCCTGTTTATGGACGGTAATGGAAAGAGCAAGTTACCGTCCACGCCCCCTAGCACCGGCTTAAGCAAAATTTAACATGAACTCGAACAATTTTGAATTTTGAAACATCCGCAGATGTGTTAATATGGCGATTATCATGGATTCTTCAATGTGACACGTTAGTGCCATACCATGAAAAACGGAATATGGTCCCCAAGTAAAAAATCAAAACACACTCTGAAATTCAGTAAGAGAAACATGGCGGGGCGCCCCTTACTTACTTTTTTTATTTCTTGGTCAATTTTGATAATTTTAGACTTAAGTAAAAGAATCCTTTATGAATTTTCTAGTGATGCCTTAAAAATGAAAATAATTACGTAGAAGTATTTAAAATTTTGTTTCAAACTTATCGTTGTTTATTTTTTATCTCTTAAAACCACACTCATATATTCGGGAAAAAATGACGTCGCTTTTTTTAGATACTATATTCAAAAAAGAAAATGAATATTGAATGAAAGTTAAGACCATAAGCTTTGAACAAGCATATTAAAAATCTGGAAACAAAGTGATCCCTCGGAAGCATTAATCACAACAAAATTACATAAGAATTGCAGACTCGGTTTGATTGAGTCTGTACATGAGGGATTATTAACAAGTGCTACATCCCTCACGCCCCCTAGCACCGGCTTGAACGGTACTCAATTCTCAACACTAAATAGCGCTGGCATCAATGATCCCGTAGGACCAGAAAAATATAACAACACTGAAGTGAAGTACGGGGCAACTTTTTACTTCTGCCACACGGCACTTGACACCTGCTGTTATGAAGTATAAAAATCTGGAAACAAAGTAATCCCTCGGAAGCATTAATCACAACAAAATTACATAAGAATTGCAGACTCGGTTTGATTGATTCTGTACATGAGGGAAAAATGACAGTCAAGTTACAAGTGCAAATTTTTTTGATTCATACTGAAAATACCTTATTAAAGATTGTACATATGTGCTACGGATAAATATTTGCTTGATTTCGGAAAGGAAATCTCGGTGGCCGCTTTAAAATACTATTTTTGTAAATACTTGCATAGTTTTTGTTGAAAATGAAATTTGTGTCAATACATTTTTCAATGATACCAATAAAAATATTGGATTGTTTTTAGATTATCAATAAAATTACTCCCTTGAAGTTGGTAATTGATTCCCAAAAAAAATTCCAAAGCGCCGATGTTTCTCAGGAATATATGATAAACAAGATCAACAAGGAAAGGCGGCGCTCAATGAACGCAACCCCACATGACCCAGCAACAAGAACAAGTAGCAAGGAACCCAGGCGGACCAAACAAAACACAGGACAGTGCACTAGGCAGAGCACGGACAGGCTAATCACTAAAATGATAAATAATTTGTAACTGATAAGAACACGATGTTAAATAATAAGTTATTTCATAAGTTATCTTCATCATAAATGGTAAAATCAGCAATTTTCAAGTGATGTTGCTAGTGACAAAACTTTTGTAACAAATGTAACAAATATATGTTATGAAAAATGCCGTTTGTTGTCCTTCAGTTTTATTTAGAAATATGGGAGAGGCGCCGTTTCATACCTGTCCGCAATAGAAGTTCGTAAATACTCCGAGAGGGGCGGGGCGTTATGCTTGACTTAAAATCGTTTAACTTTGTGAATCTACTTTTGTCATTTTAAACATGTTACTGTGTTAACGTACTCTTGTAGTTCTACAACTGGTAACACGTTTTCTTAAACTCTATTTTCTGTATTTAAGATTTACATTTCACTTGTATATTTCATTTCTATAAATGTGCAAACATACATATGTATTGCATGCAATGGAAGATACGAACTTGTAAATTTGTTGTCGTTTTAGACGTTAGGTCAGTTGTTACGATATATATGTAAACTTGTTATATAAAGGCGGGCACCTTCAATTAAAAGACTGAATTAATAGGCATATTATGTGCTATGCACGGGTAAAATAGAAAATGGTAGGCATACAAGTTCGCATTTTCATAAGTCATTTTAAAAAGGAACACTTTACATGTCTGGAATTTTGGCAACGAACGCCCTCCATAAATAATTTCACTTCTATGTGAGATTGTCATGATCGAAATTGATATAGTTAATTGTGTTTATTTGATAATATTTTTGTGTAGAGGAACAATGAGGTTTATTAAGGCAAAAACAAAAACGGCTTCATGCTTAATGAACATATTGAAAATGATTTGAAAATAATTTTTTGTGATCTGAAATAATGACTGTCAAACAATTAATTCGACGACTCTTTGACTAAACATTTTTTGATCTGTAAAAACCTTTATAAAAAAGCTAAACTGTATCGGGTCTTAAAGTTTAAG